GGCCCAAGTCGCCAGCTTCTGGACGGCCGCTCACTGCGGCTGCTGGCTGCTCACGCTGGCTGCTGGCTACACACGGTAGCCCATGGCAACCCACTACCACAGGGGCTGCAGCCTACGCCGTTGCCGGTGACTCACGGCAGCCCAACTCCAGGTTGAGCTGTTGTTCAGCATCTTAGCTGTAGAGAGCAGTGTCACTGGCCCTCATATGTGGGATCCGAACCGGGGCCCGCTGGCGTCCCAAGCCAGCTCTTAACCAACGCGCCACTCGGGCGGCCCTGTTTTCCTTAATTCTTAAGAACAGCTATAAGGGGATAGTGGTGGTAGTAATACTATTTATTCCGGAGAGAGAAAGTCTGGCTTGGAGGGGTTTGTGATTTGTGCATGGCCACGCTCGTCTAGTCTCTGGTAGAGACAGGATTTGAACTCCATTTTCTTTGACTCTCAACTCAAGCTTCTGCATCTTCTAATGTATTTTATTGCCTTCTGGACTTTTTCGGCCACATAAATCCCCATCTAGAAATATGGGAGCATATTTTCTAACCCTAGGGAATGGGCCTGTATTATGTGATGAATGACTCATATAGAATGCTCTCTAGATACAGTGCCTTATCCTCACTTCCCCTCCCCCCTCCCTATTCTCTTCTTTATCAGAAATTTGGTGTATTCTTTCATGTGAATGGTGTGTGTGTGCGTGAGATTCTGCAAGCTAAACCAATAGGTTTATAAGTAGACCATTCTTATCCTCAAGGAGCCTACAAGTTCTTTGGAAAAATAATGTCTAAAAGCAAGAAATGATGATAATAGTAATTTTTACTCTAATGATTGAAATGGTTACATAATGATGCAGTAAAAGTCGTTACAAAGTACCACCTAAAGGTTTCGAACCAACGTCCAGCTGCTCACAGTATTGATAAAGAAATTTATAGGACAGAGGAGGAGCATTTCTGGAATGGTGGCATGAGGAGCTGCACAGACCATCTCCCCAGCGAAACAACCAAAATGATTTAAAAAAACTCATTAAACCCAACTATTTCAAGTCTCTGGGAATTGTCCTAAGGACATATAGCAAGTGGAGAAACATGTATTCAAGAAAATTTACTAAGTCTCAGTGAGAACAGCAACAGCCGTGGCATTTGGCTCACAGCCTGCTCACTTCTGCCCACCCTTCAGCTCAATGTAATGGAAGCTGTGCTCCAAGCCAAGAAGATGGGGCTCCTTCTCTTCCCAGTTCCCAGGCTAGGACTGCACTTTTCCCTGGGAGGGACAGGCCACCAGCAGTTCTCCTTCCTCTTAGCTCGGTGTTGCAGGTAAGCTGTCCAAGGGCCGGGAGTTTTCTTCCTCCACTAGCCCCACTTTGTAGGCTAGAAGCTGTGTCCCAGACACAGGAGGTCAAGAGTCAGGAGGGACCTGATTGCCTTCTCCCCAGCTTGCTTGTTGGGCAGAGATTCCATGCCAGGAGAGGCAAGGTGAGAATACAGGAGCTGCCACTGCTGCTCAGTGCCCTGCTCTTAGAGCAGGAGTGTCACTCTGAGAGAAGTGGCTGTTGATCCTGCTCCAAGCTTTGAGCAGTGAGCAGAGGTCCTGTATGGCGGGCCAGCCGCCACAATTCGATCAGTACCTGAAGGGGGGAGCGGGAATTAAAGAAAGAGACACTCACTCAATTGTTGATTCGGCCGGTCTTCACTGATGGTGAAGCACTGAGTTTATTTTTCCTCACCAATATATGCAGTTTGAGTACGTGCAACACTGCAGGTACAACTACGCATTACCTCATACAGAAGCAGATCATTANCTCACCCAGGAAGAGCGCAATGATCACAATACCAACATGGGCCAGTGAAGCGACATCCTCCACAACTAGACTGAAGAACAAAAGGACAGCAACTTGTTACCCTTCCCCTGATTCCCCAGCGCTGTTCCCCTCCCCCAATTCCCCAATAGAATCTTAAAAAAATAATAAAGCCTTAACCATGTGTGTGGTCTCCCCCTGTAAGAATATGCCCCTACCCTATTGAATTCTAGAGTGACCACATGACTTGATTTGAATATGTGGGTGGTCGGAAGTGTCACTTTAGGTAGAATTTTTAAGAGCCTGAGTATGGTTCTCCATCTTTCATTTTCCTCTACCACTCCCTCTACCACTTGTACTGGCTGTGTTTCAAGTAGAGGCTGCACAGTCCTGGAGTGAAGATGACCGGAGCACAATTACAGTTGACACATGACAGATGTGAAACTGGATTGAGAAATAAACTTTTATGACTTTACATAAATCACTTGATTTTGGGGGGAGTATTTGTTGCTACAGAATAACTCAGCCCTTCCTGACACAGACCCCTTTCTCCACTTTACCCTAACCCCTAACCCCAAACCCTAACCCTAACCCTGAGAGTTCTGTGTTCTTCAGGGTGAACTTTGAACTCTGTGGACATCTGCTTTTCTCTGCTTTTTCATTTAGGCATTCTTTTAGGCAATGGTGAAGAGAAAGAGGGCTTTGGAATGAGAATTTCGAATTCTAGGCTTGGTTCTGACACTTGGTAGCTGTGTGATCTTAAGACAGATAAGATCTTATGTCTTAGTTTCCTCCTCTGTGAGATGGAAAGGATAGCAGTGTCTACCGCCTGGCTATGTTATGAAGATTCCTGGAGCTGCGCTTAGTACAGGACCTGCTTTATACATGTTAGCTACCAATACTAGCATTAGTAGGTGGAAGAAGGCTGTATTTATCAGCTTAGGCTAAGCTGTACTGCAGTAACACATGACTCCCAAATCTCAGCCACCAACACAAACAATCTAACATTACTCCCAATCTTATCCCTCCACCTTTGTTGGTTGGCTTTAGCTCAGCACCGTGACTTTTTACGGTAGAACCGAGGCCCCTTGGGAACATATTGCTCTCAGAACATGAGAGATGGTGGACTCATACAATCCGTAGAAGTGGCATGTCACTTTCACTCACATCTCATTGTCTGAGGCAAGGCCTGATGTCAGGGGGCAAGACAATACAATCTTTTTATAGAGAAACAAATAATTGGGAACAATGATAAAACCTACCACAAAGGCCTATTTTATCCTAATCGCTAGGATTAGCAAAACAACTGCAATGCATTTTTTCTTACAAGAAGCTCACATTCTAGTAAAGATAGTCATATAAATAGAAAAATTGCAGTATGGTGTGATTAAGGTGAGATGCCCAGGTTGGACAGAAGAGAGAGTCACTCTCTCTGCCTGTGGTATTAGGGGATGAGTCGTAAGAGCTTAGAGGAACTCTAGCTAGTCTCAAAAGGGAATTTGGCAATAGTGGGACTGTAATCATTGGGGCTGAGATCCTGGAGAGGGTGTCTGAATTGCTTCTGAAGGCGGTATAGCTCCTAATACCACTTGCCTTCTTGGGACCACATGAGTAGAGGACTTTAGCTTGGGCCCATCAGGAGACACAAACGCACATCTCTGATAAGACTACATGGCATACACATACAGAAAAGGAAGGCGGCGGTGGTGGTGGTGGTGGTGGGGTTATCTTTACAGAATCGTCGTGAGTCCTGGAGCTCTTCCTAAACTAAGAAGGACTCAGTTTAGACTCCCCGAACTCCTCAGAGTAGAGGACATAGTGGGATCGAACACTGCTGGAACCCTGGGCCCGGGAGGTCAGGAGCTGAGTTCTGAATGCCCAGCTGTTCTGGAAGGAGACATTCCAAGGCTCTTTCTCCACAGGCATTGTGCTGTGTCTGCTCTCTGACTCAGGCACCATGTGGCAGAGATTGATATAAGACATGGAGTTTGTACCTGAGATGCAGTCGTGGGAGGGAATTGTAAATTTTGTCACATAAGGGAGAATGGCAGGGGACAGACTTGAGGGCCTACAGGCTGGAAAGGCATGAGGGAAAAAAATCCAAGGAGACTCCATAGGCTGAGACTCCATATTTTTTGAACAAAGAGGGCGGGAGAGGACAGGATCCCTGCTGAGGAGGCGTAGGCTTCGGGCCTACACTCAAGGTCCTGCAATGTGAAATTGCTTCTCCATTCCACAGGCCCTGGCTTCATGGCAACAAAATGGGCTTTTACAAGCAAGGTTCAGAGACGTGTCCCCAGGCAGCGGAAGTCAATCTTGAGATGAAATAACTTCTACCAGGCCTTCTGGCAGAATTTCAAAACAAGCACTGGACTGACTCAGGGGCCATGGCGTTGCCTGATTCATCTGCCTGGGGAGAGCAGGAGTGGAAGATGTTACCTCTGGAGTATAGGGAAGAGATGAAGACTATGAAGAAACTGACCCAAAATCATAAAGCAAAAGGTGAGAGTTGTTGAGAGGCTGGCGAGGTGACGAGTGGGAGCAAGGCTCCAGGTTCAGCTGAGAATGCTCTAGTGACCACAACTGAGCACAGGGATTACTTCCTCCATCCCAAGGCTTAGAGGAGCTATACTGGCAGCATTACGGGAGGCCTGGTTTCTCACAGCTGCTTTTTCTTCCCCTAGGTTTGCCTTCTACTCATACCGACTGGCTCCAAGAAAAGGCAGGAAAGCCCGAAATACTGGTGAGTTGGGGTTGTATTTATTTATTTATTTTCCTGAAGCCTGGCCCATTTTCCAGAGGATAGGCATACTGTGTCTTCTCTTTGTTGGGAAGGGAAAAAGCAATTAACATTTAGGCAGTTCATGCCTGTCAGGCACTGTATTAATCACGTCATAATAATGCCTGCATTTCTATGTTTTCTTTTCCTTGTTGAAAAATATACCCAAGATTAATAGTAAGAGTCCAGGAAACTGTAAAACATACGGGATATTTTTGAAAAACTGAGATTATTAAAAAATTTTAAATATACTACTAAATTTCACTTCACAACTATACTACTTAATGATATTATCTTTTGCACTGCACATTTCGTTTTTCTTTTTTTACTGTTGAAATTTTCAAACCTGTATAGAAATAGAGAGCATAGTAATAATAGGGCCTCAGGTACCATCATCCAGCTTCAAAAATCATCTGCAAATGCCAGCCTTGCTTCATTTCTATCCCTCCCATGTCTCTCATTGAATTATTTTAGACAAATCTCAGACATCATGACAGTTTCTCCATAATTCT